TCATCGTATGTTCAATATGCAATATAATTATCAATTATTGGTTATTGTGGAAAAAAATAAATAATAAAATTTTTAATGACGCCGTTTTCGCCTATGAGAGAAAATTTGAATTTTCCCACGGAAATTAATGGAATTGAGAGAAATTAAGGAAAAATATTTTCGTTTCCTCAAAAATTCTCAGATGAAAATTTCAATTTTTCATATTTGTTTATAAAAATAATCATTAACCATAATCAAAAAAAAAAATAACGATTCTGTAAATTTTTCCTTCAATCTGATGGAAAATGACCGAAATAATTTCTAACTTGACTTGACTTGGCAGAAATAAATTTCCGTAAATTTCTTTGGTATAAATTTTTTTTTTCGTCATGCTGGTACCGTAAATTTGAATCGAGACAGTGGAAAAATTTTTTCACCATGAGAATATCTGAATGAAACTAATGACTTTCCCTAGGGACAAAAGCTCATGCGAACGTATGGGAATATCTCTTATTGTTATTGTGGTGAATTTTGCACAAAGGGCAACTGTGCATGTGGGAAATGGCTGATATTCCAGGTGATAACGTGTTTTTGCATATTACCTTCGAGCATTTCGCTGTTACTATTTATTTTCATGGTGCACGCCACAACAATTTCACTCCGAATAATCCGCTATTTCATTTTCTCACTTGATTCTGACGTTTCGATTTCTCGGAGGAGCAGATTCAATTATTAATACTGAGAAAAGTCATTACTCTTGTCGAACAAATGAATTAACCACCGGGAAATCCGTATTTAAAGAGAATTTTTTTTTTCTCCAAATAATTCGGGGAATCCCAGATAAATTGCGCGCGAAATTCAAACATTTAATTTGAATTCTTTCAAGTATTTCGGTAATTAGTCAATCCTTTAATTGATTAAAGATGTAAATCCAGAAAATTCAGGTGATAACTATTTTTTTCTCATTTTCTTTTCATTTTATTGGGTTTTAAGATTCTAGAATCGCCGAATGATTTCGATCAATTGTAGATTTTTTTTGTTGTTTAGAATTTTTTTTTCTTTGAATGCCTGAAACTTTTCAGGGGTGAATTATTTTCTCGGTTATTTATCTCACTTCTCAAAGTTCCTCAGAGGTTTCTGGAAAGTTTCGTGGGAACATCAGGCCGATAATGGAGAAAACACAACCGCGAGAAAAGTGCATTTCTTCAGACCCCGCGAAATATTTAGGCGTTGAACAGCACGAGTTGCTACTTCTCACATTAAAATCATTTTACGAGTGAAGTTTTATCATTTTTATCGCTGACAGTGCAACATACCGCGGGAAAAAATGGGATATTTAAATTCTAAATTGATGACAACCTTTAGCCCCATTTTCTCTCAGGCGTTCTTTGAAGACTAATTGCAATTACAATTGCAATTGCAATTGTTTATTGTTCGATCCGATTTTCTTCGGTTTCAAGACCCAATGGAATTCCAAAAAACTTTTATTCGAGATTGAAATTCATAAGGAATTCATCGTGGAATTCCATCCATACAATCTGTCCGAATCATCCGGAAATTCTTTGAAAATTCCGGAAGTAAGAATATTTGAAAGAAACTTCCGGAATTTTAACAGAAATCCAGAAAATTCAGGCGCAAAAATTCCTGGAATTTTCAATTTTCCAATATTTTCACCAAATATGTTGAGGTGAAAAACCCACAAAAATTTCGAAAATTGAAAATTTTTCTGGAAAATAAAATTCAGGAATTATAATTTTCCGGATAATTCTTCTCTTTTCACCGATCGGAAAATTCAAGTGGATTCATGCTAGGGTAATTAATTGATTAGTGGCGTAGAGTGGGAGAGTTTTTCAAGATGGAGATGTGAATTTTCAGAATAATCTCTCAGTGAATTTTCTCCACTTAATTCCAGACGGATTATTCAATTCTCCTGTTGATAAACGAGTTAAATCACTCCGAGTATTCTCCCTCCACTGGAACTAGTTTGAATGTATTAGGGAATAATTGATTGAAAGTGATTTATCCCTTTGGAATTGTAGAGTACGTAGTCATTCAAGGAGAATGGAGCGATTTCCATTTGACTTTATGAAAAGATTTTATGGAACTGTGTGAATCGCTATGGAACATCTCCGTCAAGAGCGACACGGATATTAATTCTTCTGATTTTTTTCTGATGAATCCCGACAGGTTTTTCCGTCGAGAGGAAAATCTATTTACAGTTGAAAACCTGATTTAATAGAAAATCGATGATTCGGGTAGTCATTTTCTCGAATTCCCAATCTATTGGAAAATTCCGCGTTGATAAATTTTCACGATTTTGTGGAAAATGTGGGAAATTCAGGCAGTGATTTCCCAGAATTCTCAATCTATGGAAAATTGTTGTTGAGAATTGCACGTTGACAGATCTGCGAATTCCTTGAATATTCTTTCAAATTCACACGCCATGGAAAAGCCATGAAAATCTGGGAAATTCAGGCAGTAATTTCCCAGAATCCTCAATTCATTGAAAATTGACAGATCTATGA